TGCTTTTCCCCGGTGTGTCGCCCATATTTTGTTATTTTGATTAGATAATCAAGTGTTCTAAAATAGAAGCAAATAAAGTGTGAGAGTATACATAAAATATCAATATGTATTTCATTTCAATGCTATGGCCTTTGTGTAGATTAAATTCAAGATGGCCATCTTTAAGCATGACTGTTGATATGAAATGGTAACACTTTACAATAAGAGTCCATTTGTAACATTAACATTAATGAAAGCTGTATAAGTATTGTTCCTAGTTAGAGTTTGTTAATTTCAACATTTAGGTTAATATTACATTTTTAAAATTTTGTTTCTTTTGTTAACATTAGTTAATAAACTATGAACGTTAATGATCAATTTAATAATTAATATTAATATTTGATTCATTTAAAAATTATGGTTCTTTTTTTTTTTTAAATAGTAAAGCACTATTTTAGTTTTAGTTCAGTATCCATTTTAAAAACTATCGATTGATTTATCGGTATCGGCCAGTGTGGACCAACCTAGCTATCGGTATCGGTAAAATTCACTGTCGGTTGACCTCTACTTATTTAATTTTTCTAGATTTATACGACCGTAAGTTTTTATTTAATTCTACTTGTATACACCAGAGAATAGAGAAAAAATAATTCAATTGAATTAAATGTAAGTACCTAGTGCTTCTTGAAATGATACCAAATTCCTTGTGTGTTTGTGCACACTTGGCAAATAAAGCACATTCTGAATAATTTAAACAATCTACAGATATCAATGCTTCTAATCTGATGTATTTTCAGGTGGAAGGAGATACTGTGACGTTCTCTTTTGAGATGAGAAGCGGACGCGAGCACAACACCCCAGATAAAGCCATGTGGGGTTTCTCATGCACTGTCCGAGCGCAGGTACCCACTCAAGGCTTTACACTAGCTTTTAAATACATCCCAATCATAAAATGTACAGTGAAAAATGTAAATACTTTTAAAATGATTTATTTTGTTTAAAAATGTAAAAATACTTCTTTGGTTCCTAACATATGGTCAACTGCAAAATTACATTTTTAAGCTGAATTGGTATATGGATAAGTGGAAAATAAAAAATAATGTAAAAATATGCATATTTGTATTGTTACACTATATATTTAAACATGTATTTATCAATTTTAAAAGAATCTGCAACATTTTACAATAAGGTCCCATTTGTTAAGATTAGTTAATGCTTTAGCTAACACTGACCACTATATTTTACCACTATAATATATTTCATTTTGTAGTTTTGTGAACATCAAAAACACATTATGGAATTTGGGGCTCGGCAAAAGCAGTAAACTGAATTTTAAAGTGAAAGTAAAAAAATCAATCATGACTATTGAGTAACTAAATTTTTTTAATCTAATTAATTACACCATGTGCCAATTAATTAATTAAATGGCAAATTAATCGCACATCAATTTTGGATAAATTACCCTTCAAAAGATCTTTTTAAGCCATTATTGTGCTTTAAAGCATCAAAGCATTTAATAAATAAGTAGCTTTAGAAAGAAATGTTTTTGATTCAACATTGCATAAATAATGATAATAAATGGGTATTCATGAGTTTTAAAAAAAATGAGTCATTCAGTCATTCATTCAACCGATTTGTTCAAATGGCAGATTCATTCAGAATCAAACCAATGACTGTCTTTATGAATGAGTCACTGAATCATTCACTCACTCGAGTCCGCTGATTCATTCAGTAAGGAGAAAGTGCTGTGTGTTGCACAAAAATGCAACATTTCCACTGTGGCTTTATAAAAAAAACATTTTTTTAGCTTTTTTTTTTTGTTGGTAAAATTGAGCAAAACAGATAATATTGACAATATTGTGTCTAAAATGTATCACAATGTGTTGCATTATTGTTTATTGAACTGTTGAATAAAATTAATATCACATTTGCAATCATGTAGATGTTTGGAGAAAAAACAGCATGTGATATTGCTAAACTGATTATATAAATATAAAATGAAAACCCATATGCAGGCATTTTTTTTTTTTTTGCCTCATACCTTGAATTTTAGATGCGTATAGCTGCATTCTAAAAGGCTTCATCACACAGTCAGTCAATTAGTCAGTCGTCCTGCATCATGTTCATCAGCAACTGCATCATTGTAAGAGGATGAACAGATCTGGGCAGGGCAGGTGCATTAAATGCATTAATCATTTTGGCACGTTATAATTGCTCCAAATTAACGTGTTAAATTGGCAGGCCTAATTAAAATGAAAATAAACTACAAATGGGCAAATGTTTCACCTTGCTTGTTTGCACTGATTCTGTTGCTTGTTCAGGAGTCGTCTGAGGATGTGTCCGGCGGGCTGCCCTTCCTGGCTGATCTAGCGCTGGGTTTATCTGTGCTGGCCTGCGCCATGTTACGCATCCTCTATAACGGCCCCTATATCACACGAGAGGAGGAGGCCTGCCACGACCTGCTCTGCTCCAAACTACTGCAGAGGTGTGCTGCTTCACCCGCCGTGCACAAACACTGTAACATCAGCTGCTCTTCAGTGCTTGTGAATACAAGTGCTTAAAACCCTGTCGGTAAAACCCGTCTGAATGCAAGCTTCAGATGTTTGCTGCGTTTACAGGGTTTCTAGTCATTTAGGCCACATTTACGCTGCATGGTTCAAGTGACCCAATTCTGATTTTATTTTCCTCTCATGATGTGGCACAGATCGGATATGACCCACGAACTTGTAAGCAGGAAAAAAAGCACATAAATTTTGATATTCTCAGATTGGTTTCAGGCCTCATTCATATGTGGAAATAAATCTGATATGAGTCAGATACGTGCATTTGCGCCTGCCATGTAAGCAGACAGATCGGATATAAAAGATTTTGATGCAAGGATGAAACTATTGCATTAAAAATGTTACTATGAATTCCATGTGAATAAATTAAACTTACTGTGCTATTGAAATTGATTTCTTGATATCATAATGTTATTTTTCATCCGTTTCGCCAAAGTGTAGTGTAAATGAAGATATCGGATACAGGTCACTTTTAAAAGATGAAGTAAGAGTCGTCAAAAATATCGTAATTGGCCATCAATACCTGCAGTGTAAATGCGGCCTTAGACACTTTTTTTTCCCCGTGGAGAAAGGTGGTCTACAAAATCACTAATAGACAAACGTACACATTGCAACAAACTGAAACAACAAATCACAGGCACAGATTTTTGAGCCAGGATTTTAAACACAATTTCCAAAAACAAACAAATAAACATATTTTTAACCCTTAATAATAAAATATTTGATTGTTGTTGATAAAATAATAGTCTTTAATGTATATTAATGTATTAAACCTTTAATGTATGTGATTTACACTACTGATCAAAAGTTTGGATTTTTTAAAAATGTTTTTGAAATTTTCGCTTGAGATTTAGAACCAAATTACAAAAATAATATGGGGGTAAAAATTACTTAGAAAAGATAGCAACATCATGATGTAATTTTTACACAGAGATTGGGAAGTCTGTTAGAAAAATCTGTTGACTTAATATCGTTCTAGATTTTGGTTCTTAAACTTTTCTTTTGGAGTGTATGTGGTTCAGTCCTATAGATATGGGGATCTCAGTGTGGCTCAGTGTCCAAAATGTTCAATTTCACCCATTTTAAATGGTCAAAAGCCAAATGTGGGCCACTTTGCATACAGCAACAAATGAAGAGTTAATTTGCAAAAACCGATAAACGGCACTTTAAAAAAAAAAAAAAAAGAGCTGAGTGCCGTGCATTATTCTTCACATATAGCGCGATCTGAACCCTAAACACGTTTTGTCAAAAAAGCCGGTTTTGTCCACTTTCAAGGCATCGCGAGTTCAAGTTTCACTGCAGAAGCCGACAAGCACTCTTGTTGTGTTTGAACAGAAGCCGATAAGTCCATTTTAGCGAATCAGCGCGCTGTATTCAGATCAAGTGACAAGGCTACTTTCACTTTGAAAAGACGTGCTAGCTGAGAGGAGTTTCGTCAAAGCTGACAGCAGCGCGTTACAATGGTGAGGGAAAAGCTCTGTGTATTGCGTGTAATCACATCCATACAGTTTATGATCACAACAACAACAACGTTTGTCAGGCATCTACATTGTCATCTGAGGAGATTACAAAGATTAAACGAGTGTTTTTTGAAACTCTAAAACATGAAATGTGGAAATCTGCTTTTGCCAAAAAACGACTGTTGGAGTTATCTGCTTTTGCTATAAAACAAACTTTTAATATGTTAAAAAAAACATACTTTCAATGAACTTTAATTTTGTAAATTACCTGTATTTGTTTAAGTTATTATTACTTAATCAAAACAACCCAACTGCAGTTTGATTGATATTACTTAGAATGCGCAATAAAAAAAAACGTGATTTCTGAAAAATAATAAAAATGGAGTTATCGGTTTTTGCAAATGAAATCTTCAAATACTGTTGAAACTAGAATTGTATCTTATTTCCTCTAACAAAACGATTGCGTAGAACAAATCTGTCAGAGTGCCATAAATATATTATTTTTACAAAGTTTATGTGCACATCTTAATATCCTTTTAGATTCTGGTTCTTAACAAACTTTTATTCTGGTGCATTCATTTTTAAGGCCCTATATGGTTCAGTTCCAGAGATTCTGGGAACTGAGAGTGTGTACAATTTAACAATTTACTCGTGGGGCCACATTCACTGGAAATGAACCATATAGGCCATATTAAAAATCATGACAACAAAAGAAAAGTTTGTTAAGAAACAAAATCTAAAAGGATGTTAAGATATCTTTAATACTTCTTGAGTTCAGCAATGCAAACTTTGGAAAAAAAACAAGTGTTTTTACCCATATTTGAATGGTCAGCTTTGGCTTATGATGCAATAAAGATTACTAAAGTCAACAGATGTTACAGTAACAGACCTACAGTACCCATTTCTGTGTAAAAATAACAGAAGTAATTTTGACCCCCAGTAATTTGGCTCCAAATCTCAAGTGAAATTGTCATTTTGACCCCCTACTACAATATAGTGGAATATACATCCATGAGATTTAATATTTTGGCTTTTCTTCATTATTTATCTTTGTTTTTCTTCAGAAAAAAGAATAGCATTATAAATGTCTTTACTGTCATATTTGATAAATTTAATGCATATTTGTGACCCTGGACCACAAAACCAGTCATAAGGGTCAATTTTTCGAAATTGAGATTTATGCATCGTCTGAAAGCTGAATAAATAAGCTTTCCATTGATGTATGGTTTG